TCTTTCCTTTTCTCCGTCCCTCACCCTCTTCTTCGGCTCGCTGAAGCCGTCTCTAACTCGGTCTCCGTGAAGCATGGATCACCGACGAAGCCCTTCCGAATCGAATTGCAGCCAACTTCGGGGGCGAGAGAGAGGGAGAGAGGCGCGGGTATCGTGTCTGGCTATGTCCGGTGGTGCCTCCTAGTTAGGAGCCTGTTCCAGACTTTCCCACACCCCCGGTGTTCGATAACTTTGGATTTCATTAGACTGGTTAATAAAGCTCGTTATCCTGGCTACGCGCTAATCGGCTGGAAAGTGGATTGTATGGGATCGGTGTTGGTGCTTTGAGGGACAATTAATCGCGCGAATCGCGTACGTCGGAAGCCCGTGGCAAGGTTTCACCGGGAGAGGAAGAAGGGAAGCTGCATTTTCTGCCGCATCGGCAAAAAAGGAGAGCGACTGACGCGGAGAAGATAATCGATAAAAAGTTCGGCTCAAAGACAATGACAAATGACATTACCATTGCCGGTACGTAAGTAAGGAGAGCACAAACTCTCCGAGTCCCGCTGTCGACGAGCTCGCGGAGTCGACCAATCGCGATGTCGCGTCGTTGATCGAACACCAGGGCGACGACCAAGACCAAGACCAAGACGAAGAGTAATACGAAGGGAAGGAAGGAAAGCGAAAGAGAAAATCGGTAGAAGGGAAGTCTTTCGTCGAATTCGTTAATCCCATTGACCGGTAGTCCTTTGTGGTGGACTTTGGAATTAAATTTCCGGTCTTGCGGAATCCGGAGAACCCTTTGCCGGTCATCGAGCCGTTGGTAATTCGATCGGCAATCATAAAGACCTCGATTCACGGACTCGTCCGTACCTTCCTTTATCTCGCGAGGCACCACGCGTTCGACACCGCGGCTAAGCCATCTCTTACGGAACCGGAACCACGAATCAGCTCTAGCATCGCGACTGCGAGGGAAATTAGCATCTGCGAAGACTAAATCTCGACACTCGAGATATCCGTGGATTCGCGATTCGCGTGTCGCTCGATGACAGACGGACTCGTGCCCGCCGACAACGAGTCGCGACGATAAAGTTACATGGTAATTCGATGGAGCTGCGTACGAGGCTGCGCGATGGCCGCGCTATTCTCGATAGCACATGGATCGAGCAGCGAGTGGCCACGCGAAATCCTCGGTCGGAGCGGAACGAGCGGCGAGGTACGAGGGTGTTGCCGGTGCAAGCAGCCATTCATTTGCATTTCACTGGTCTCGTTGGCCTCGAGCTCCATTTCCCATTTCCGGCCACGTCAAGCGTCCAAATGAAACGTTCATTCAAGCCCGCGGCCTCTTTTTCCCTCTCGCGCGCTTCGCCGTTCCACGTCTTCGTTATCGAGCTTCCTTCCGCTCTGGAATAATTCTTCCAACGTTCGACCTTCGATTCGCTTACCCTCCATCCAGCCGCGCGACGCGCGCGTCGATCGGTCGCCCCGCGATAAACGCGATAAACGCGATAACCTACCGACGCGATTCGTCGTCGGGACGGTGACTGTCCTTTGAAGGGAATAGAATAAATACCGACCGGTTCCAAGACGCGGGGTTGAAACGACGAGGGGTCGTTTCCGACGTCGTCGAATCGGTACGGTGAAAAACGGAGCACGGCCAACGGCGAATCGGTAAACAGAATTATCGGAAACGCTGCGCGTCGGGAATACATTTGGCTTTCGCCGATTCCTCGATTGGAAGATCCAGAATTCCTCGTGCTCGTCTCTCCGCGTCGCGGTTCGCGTGCACGTCTCATGGCGAGTAATCTTGCCGGCATTCTCCCCACGGGCAAGAAACGAAACAATATTTTGGCAAGCAGTTTGCCCCGTCCCTCCCCGGCTGCGACTACCCGAGCATTCGTGGCTTGCCTCTGAACGCCCGTAGGAAAGTGAACAAGGTTATCCGGGGAATTTGCATATTTCTGTTTACGAGAAAGCGGATTCGAGTTCCCTACTCGTTTTCCCATCACGATGCTCCGCGATGCCTTCCAAAAGGGCTACGCGAGACTCGGTATACTCGATTTCGAAGGTTTACCGTGTCGTTTAGTCCGAAACAACGTCGAGGCGAAGCCCGCGGATCGATTATGGTAAACCGAAGACGCCGTGTCGCGCTTCCAGCGGCAAAAGACTAACGAGCGATGGATCTCGTGGGTTAGGGAACAGTTTCGCGCCTCGAGGGGAAACGGGTTGTCGTGGGAAAGTCGTCGAAGCGAAGAATTATTCGTGGAAAAGAGCGAGTAGGTGTCGGGGTCTGTTCCCGGAACCCGTGCACGGTTCCTTTGGAAACGGAAGGTAGCCTAGGGCGGCTGGTACCGGCCTGGTACCGTTCACAGGGACATCGATTTCCTGGCGAGCGATTCGATGCTCGTACATGGGCCGACACACACGGCAGCGGTGGACGTACGCGCGACGAGAGCCGGTGCGAGCTGTCGCTCGGCTGGCCAGCTGGTCTCCGTTGCATACACGGGGCCACCTTGGCGTGCATTATTAGGTGAGCGACGTAGCCACGACGTAGCGACGTGTACTCGAGGCACGGTGTGCGTTCACGGGTACACGTACGAGGCGACTAATATCGCCTGACGGATGGATTTATCTAAAATTAGAGCCGCCCGTCGGGTTACCGATGTCTCTCGTTCGCGTTCACCTACAGACTCGGTGTAAAATTAGAGTCCACTGCTTCCGACCTGCGCGCCTCTTCGTCATCCTCGCTATCTTTAGCCGGAGGTAAAGAACCCTCGCGATCCTGGACCCCGCTTCGTTCCTCGCGTCTTTCGCTATTGATCTCCTGCGAGCTGGCAACCGTCAAACGGATGCTCTTCCCAAACGTTACGATCTATACTATTTGCTTTGTCCTGCTCTTTACGATCCTCCTGTCAGAGAGTTTCCTCCGATTCCGAACGACCCAGCACGCGGATGACCGATCCGATCCGATTCGTCACGGTTCCCTTCGAAGGAATACGACGCTTGCTCGAGTTGGCCACGGTAGGTAGGGTATACCTCTGTGACGCGTCGCGGGAAGACGCAACCGGGTAACAGGTTTCGCTAGCAAGGTGGCAACTATTAAATCGAAGCGCGCGCGTCACGTTCGCAGTCGTTTCACGCTTCTCGAGAACGAGTGCACTCGCTGGAATCTTCGCCGCTCCTCGGAGACACTTTGCGCGGGTACGAAGGAGCGGGCGATTAGATTTGGAGCCGCAGTTTTCCGGCGCCACGCTCCCGGCTCTCGAGCGTACCCTCTGCGCTACTCGCGTTCCCCGGCGAACAGCTGTAGGGCCAATTTCGACGCGCCGCGCCCTCGGAGGGGTACGAACGGAGAGAGTTAATGGGCAAAGACGCACCCTCTCGTACTCCTCTTTATCTCGCGGCTTTCTTCGCGAGCTAGAGTGTACGGCAGGGAGGAGGAAAAATGACGCGGAGCGTTGGCGCGGACGAGAAGGGAGCCGTGGAGGGTGGATTAACGACGCGACGTCGGAAACCTCGGGAAATCTGTTTACTTTTAATGGAGACCCGGCTCGTCGTGTTCTATCGACGCTTGCCAGGAATGCTCGAGGAGGAGGCTGCAGGGAGATTTCATTTTCGTTAAATTATAAAGGATGCAGCACGGTTAATGCCCGAACGACGGCGATCAGGCGGGTCGCATCGTTGGAAGTTTAATACGCCGCTCGATTTATACCGCGTTACCGTCCGGTTCTCAATCATTACAGCTTTATGTAGATTTATGGTCGCGTGGTATTTTATTGGCGGATATCGGTAGAGTCGTATTTATTCGGTGCGCGATAGCGGGGTCGAGAACTCGCTCTGTCTCTCTCCGCTCCTCCCCCGGCCGCTTATTTTCCTCTCCGTCCGACTCGCGTGGGCAGAAAATACTGGCATTACATCTATATTAAACTCCGCAAAACTATCGACCTGCGAGAGCACGTATGTATACGCGCGTGTAGCGCGGCCGCGATACAACGGGGCTCGAATTAGTCCTTCAGCGAGTGGGCAGCGATAACGGTTCGCGATACAGCGCGCGAATTCTCGAGGAGCGCATCCACGCGTATCCGGCTGCCGGCGTGACCGTTGGTTGGCTCGTTTTAAGTGCAGGTATTTAGCAATTTATGGCTGGTAGTCCTTGCCGGAAACGCGTCTCTGCGACGGAACTGCCGGCTGGACGAGCCGCGAACATCGCGTTTATGCCGACCGATCTAATTTCCTAGGAAATCCGAGCGGATAATTCATGGAAACGCGAGTAACACAGGCAGACAAAGCCGATCCTTCCTTTTCCTTTTCCTTTCCTATCCTCTCCTTCCTTCGCCGACGCGCTATTTTTATTTCCAAGATAATCGCTTTGACCAACTTGCCGAGAGACTTTCCGCGAGACGTTCGTTTTCTAATTCCTGGCGTGTTACGTAAGAATGCCGACATTTGAAAGTCAGATTGGCGGGATCGCGTGTAGAACGAAAGGCGCGCTCGACGTTCGATTCCCAGGCGGAGGGAAACGTTTGCCGGTGGAAGGACCGACGGGGGACACGGACGATCGCGATCAAAGTCGAAATCACGGGGAGAAATTGCGAGCGTTCGGTTATCCGGCCACGCGGATTGAAGATCGGTCGATGGCCTCCTGGCCGAGCCGTATCGTCCGCTCGCGATCGCAGCGGGACGTCTCGTGGACGTCGCTCGCCGATTAAACCCGAATCGGATCGAATAGGATTTCCAAAGTCTCCGGAGAGTCGAGAGAGACTTTCGCGGCGCGAGCTTTCGTTTTTCTTCCTTTTACACATCTCGCCAGGTTTTCAGTTCTGTTTTCTCGTTGGCCGCGCAACGTCTCTCTACCACCCCCCCGGTCGGCTGCCTCGTTGTTTCCGCCGACCTCGAACTGTGCCTCCCTTCGGTCACGCGATCGCTCTTACGGGAATTTTCCAGGCTGTAAATTGCAAAAGTTCCGCCAGCAGACCGGCTATCGTATCCCCGAAACTAACCGTTGTTTCTTCTTGTTTCAGATCCCAAGGCGTCTCTCTGGATCCGGCCGAGCGCACTCGCGGGGTAAGTTTTCCTTAATAACCGTACACCGCCATCGAACCGCGAAATCGCACGCGATCCCGGCTCGCGAGAGCGGCCCGACGCGAGCGGAGAATAATAATTCCGTAAACTCGGCCGAGATTTTTCGGACGTTCGTACACTCGCCGGCTCCTTTATCGAGCTCTCGTATTTTGCACTCGTTACGTCGCGGTTCGTTTATATTTTCCACCCTCTTTTTTCCACCGCGGCGGGGAAAAAAGGGACACAGTCGGGAGCTGAATAAAGATACGGGACGAACGGCTGCATAAATTTATGACGCTTGCATATGCATGAACGCAACGTTTTTTTTTACGAGGTTTCTCTGCACGCCGTTAGATACCACTTGGAAACAATGCATTCGCTCGTTATTTAGGGATCTCGAAAGATCCGCGCGTTGGTCTCGCGTTATCCGCGATTCGATAACGGGACGAGAATTAACTTTCGTCGCGAGCATATTTGTCCTTGGTCCCCTTTGTTTCCGCCGATGTACGACACGCGCAGCCAAGGGAACGCGCGTACCCTTAGTTTTGCCTCGAGATAAATCGGCGATACGTATTCGCGCGAACGCCAGGCGCCAGCGGAACATCCGATACGAATGCTAGCCACGCGTTCGACGTTATTCAGGGCGCTGCCAGGCACTCGTTTCATTGCCATCCAGACAAAAGGTGAGCTTACGCCGGGTCTAGAGGGTCGAACGCGGGCCCCTGCGAGCCGGCTGCCATTGTGTCTGCCGAGCAAAGGGAGATCAGGTGTCAAAAGCTACCCGAACCGTCTGCATCCTATCTCCTTATTATCCATTTCGCCACCCGTACCCTTCCGTGTCTTTATCGGCCCTCGGTTCCACTCGCACCCGTCGCGTTCGCCGCGAATCGAAAGCGTCCCCCGTCGTCGAGTCGTTCGTTGCACTCTTCTCGAAACGAGGCTGGAATTAATCGAGAACTTTGCCCGCCGCGCGGACCCGCGTAGCCACCCCCGTGGACGGGGAGTAACGGGGAGAAGTCGAGCAGACAGCGAAAAGCAACGGGGCGCGAAATTTCCCCGACCTCCCGAGAAAAACTTTTCCATCCTTCCCGCTGGCTCGAGACAATTTCAACCAACGTCGCGATGACCGCCGCGCGAGCGTCTGCTGCCGACGAGTATCGGCACGCGAGCAACTTTTCGCCAGGGATGATCAGAGTTGACACTCGGAAAATGACCGCGGAGACGAACGACAGACGTCTCGCGACTCGTTCGTTAACGTTTCCGCGACACGGTGAGTCGTGAAATTTCACCGTTCCCTTTGATCCAGCGAAAAGTCACGTGGTTGAATTATTAATGCGCGGACCATGCCGGCATGCATACATGCATAGATGCATGTTAATTCTAAGATAGCTGCGCATCGGGCGTCGGTGGGGCGAGTTGGCGACGAATCGTGCGTCGAATAGAGATGGTGGACGCTGGCGAATCTCGGCGGGGGATAGGTTATTTCTTCGCTGGAGAACCGGAGATGCGTTCGCGGAGGATGAATAAATTAAGAGCTCGGACATGACCGTTTATCGCCGCGAACTTGTGCGTGCTCGATTAAATTTCACGCGACGCTCGGTCTGGATCCTCGCGGAGGCGCAGAGTCGATCGCGAACGGGTTGGCAGCGGCGGAGAGCGCAGTGGAGCGCAGAGGAAGAAGTCGCTTCGATATTTGATCGGTCGGAACGCCGTCGGCTCGAACGGCGCGAACGTGGAAAGGGATTAAATCGAATTATAATGGGAGCAGCAGCGCGAAACCGGTGTTATCCGTTCGGTTAACAAAAATAGCCGAGCGACTCGAGGACGAGGGCAAACGAACGCGGATGCTGACGGAGAACCGGTGGAGGAAATTTCGATGCAGCGGCGATATCGGTCGCGTCGAACGCGTGCGACGTGCCACGTGCGATTCGTGGTAAAAAGAATCCGTTACTCGGTGACACGGTGTTCGCTGGATGAAGGAAAAAAATAAAGGGAGGAAAAGAAAGGAATAAACATCTCGGTAGAATCTGTTTCGCGAGAGGCGGACGCGAGAAATCTCTTACTCGGGGCTCGGAGGGGAAAAAAATCAAGGATGAACGGGGGCGAAGGGAAGATGAAGAGAAGAGAAGAGAAGAGAAGAGAAGAGAAGAGAAGAGAAGAGAAGAGAAGAGAGGAGAGGAAAAAAGAAAGAAAGGGAGGCAGATGACACGAGGGACGTGGCCAGGGCACCTCTGAAAGTCGTTACGAGCTTGGATGCCGCCCTTCCGCCCGATCAATATTGCGTTGGTGGGGCCGAAGCAGCGCGAAGCACGGCGAGGGACGTCAGGGGGTGGTCGGAGGGATGGTCGGAAGGGTGGTCGACGGGGTGGTCGGAGGGGTTGAAAGACGAGGCAGAGCGGGGCGAATAGAAGGGATCGGCGGCAACGGTGGAGGCAAAAGTCGGGCCGGAGGGGCGTGCAGGGGTTCCGAAGGGGATTCGCTGGGAGAAGAGGGGTTGAGAGAGTGCGCCGACAGTGGGGGTTGTTTGGTGGGGGCGGTAGTAGAGGAGCCAACACTGTCATGGCGCCGCGCACCACCGCCAGCCAAGCGGTACCTCCAACTACTCCCTCGCGGTGTGTGACGCGCTGTTGGCGATTTTTCCACTGAATTTTACCGGAATCGTGGCGCGCGCGAACGTGCAGCACCGCGAGTGCCGAACGATTCGTTGGCTCGCGAACGTTATCGCGTACGATACGCCTGGATCTTCGGGGCCGCGCGATCGTGCGGCGCTACCGATACGTTGCACGAACGCCGTGTCGCAGTAGTGACTTCGCGGCTCTCTCGAGAGCAGCAGCGCCGCGATCTTTGTCCCGTGCGAGCAAATCACGGAGATTATTCCGGGCGACGAGGACGGAGGCGCGGAAGGAGAGTGCGCTAAGCGGAGCTACGCTTCGGACGACGGTGCTGCGAGAGTAACGGTGTGCCGAGTCGAGTAACGCGACGCAGCGCGAGTTATCAGTGTCGGTGGTCTCGAAGCGAAAGGGAGAAACGATCCGGAGAACCGCGTCCACCGCGAGGACGCCGGAGAACCGCCTTCGCGTGCCTCGTATCGACCTCGAAACTCTGAAACGAAGGTCGAGGATCTCGAGGTGTCCGATTCGTCGTTAGAGCCGGTACGAGTTACGCGAGTTGGACAGGGTTCGGAGAAGGGAGCGAATGTCGTCGGAGATCGAACGAAATTCGTGGACCGCGAGGTGAATCGATGGTGCACGCGAAATCGTGACACGTTCCGGTTCGTTGGGTGGTAGCACGCACGATGTCGCGGCGCGATGCGTCACGTGACTGAGGACGAAACACGGGAGGAGCAGCAGCAGCAGCATCGGTAGAGCGTGAAAGCGGCGGAGGAAAGGAAGGAAAGAAGGTGCGAAAAGCGAAAGGATCTTCCGGCGAGGACCTTGGCGGGTCCTGACCAGGGCGTCGTGGACGTGGAAAATAGACGGAAGTGACCGCCGTGGATGGATCGCGTTCCCATCTGTCGGAACACCGAGCGACCACACAGTCTACCGGGATAAAACAATGTCCTAGCGAAGGCAGGAGCTCGTCTAGGCCGATCCCCTCGTCCTGTTTTCCGTTTCTTCGTCCAAAAGAACCTCGAAACCCGTTTCGCCTCCTGACCTCCAGACACCGTTCCCCGACTGGCCCGCGAATCGACGCACGAGCACGTACGAGGTCGCGCTCTTGTACGCCACACGCATACACCGACGCGACATAGAGATACACGTGCGCGAGCACCCCGCGTACGTACACGGTCTCGTTCCACGGACACGCGTACTCGCGTGTACCCCCGACACACGTACGCACGGTCGAGAACCTGCACGCGTTTCCTCCGTCCCCTTTCCATCTGATATCCCTCGCGCGCCCTTTCTTACGCGAACGCGCGCGTTTACACGCTCGCGTCGATGCCTGGCAAGAAACGCGCTCGCACACACACGCGCCATCGTCTTAACCGTTAACCTCCGCGTCTACCGGCGCACACCTACCACCGACAACCACGCACACGTACGCCGACACACGCATACGCCACTGGCCGACTGGCGTATACTCCAAGACGCGTAATACGGAGACGGGCACGAACGAGCTTTCCGAATCCAGCCAAGTCCAAAGTCCTTAATCCCGTGGGGTGATCCTGGCCCCACCCGTACGCGAAGGAACCACACCCCGGCCAGAGAAGGAACTCGGGATACAGATTTACCGGGCTTCTGGTAAGCTTTCACCCTCCGTTGCACGACTCTTTTTCCCCTTTACCTCTTTCTTTTCTCTTTTTCGCCGTTTCCGTCTCGCGGCATCCAAATTTCGTCGCGTGCCGTAGATCCGATGGATCTATAGAAGCTAATCGCGGAATAGAGAGAAAGCTCGCGAAACAGGTACGGAAAAACGTTGATTCTCTCGAATTCTCTCGTATCGCATTGCCGGTTGTTTCGTTTCGCGGTTGTTTCTCGTGAATAGAGAGAAAGCTCGCGAAACAGGTACGGAAAAACGTTGATTCTCTCGAATTCTCTCGTATTCTTCTCGCATTGCCGGTTGTTTCGTTTCGCGGTTGTTTCTCCATTGTTTCGCGACTGTTTCACGATTAGTCGATCCGTTTCGTAGCGAACCCTATTTCCTGCGTCGCCGTGTCTTCTCCTCGCCTTTGTCGGCCCGACATACACCCATCGTCGACCCAGCGTTTCTCCTCGTCGGTGGATCTAATAGCGCACATGGCCTGGTTCCATGCTGGACACAAGTTGCAACGCGGTTGCGCAGGTTAGGTTCGCTCGGGCCGCGGCGCGAAGGGTGGGTTAAGGGCAGCGCAAGGATACGCCGCGGGCTGGCGTTTTCGTGCCACGAACTTGCAACCGACGCGCCTCGCATCTGGATCCATCGGATCGATCGAACTCTCGGGGCGCGCAGTCATTTCAAACGCGATTACACCGCGAGCCTCGCGATTCTTCCTTTCCATCGACGCACACCCCTCCGACCGGCTG